TCCTTTTGATGGTTTTGTATGTGAGGTTTTATCAAGACTTGGTGTTAAAAATAAAAAGTTTGCTTCAATACCAAGGTTTTTTTTATCATAAAGAGGAATTATACGTTCATATTGTCTTCCCTCATCTTTTGCTTTAATTCCAATGACCTTAATTAAATTTATTGAAAAATCAGAAAGTGTGCTTTTAAATGTCTTAGATTTTCCCCATAAATTTTCTTTAGAAAATGCCTCTGTACCATATGGTGAAGTTATGAAAAGTCTGAGATTTAATGGAAACGATATATCAAATGAAGTTGTATGATTTCTGATTTCAAATGACCAGGGAATTGTATTTTTATTTGTAGATTTGTCTGATTTGCTTTCAAGGAATTTTGATTTAGAACCTGATTCAAAGACTGATGATTGACTTAAAAGAAGTGGTTGAGTTACTAGTGTTTTTGAAATATCAAACAGAGTGAATGGAATTTCCTTATAATTATAAATATCACCGTTTGTTATTGATGTTCTTCTAATAGTGACTCTGGTTTTGTAGTTAACATAGGCATCTGAACCTAATCTGATTGAAGGTGGTAAAAAATGTTCACCATGTTTAAGATTATCTTCAAAGTTCAAACAGTCATTATATAGTGGTATTTGACATTTAACAATGTATTCATACTCCCCGGGTTTCAAGGTGAAAGATTGATCTTTAGTTGACTCTTTAACATCTTGTGTAGGGAACACGACACTTTCTTTAAGAAACAAGGAATGAAGTTCTCTTTCGTTGCCAGGTTTAGCTTTATAACTCACTGTGCCTTCTGGTGGTTTAGATCTTTTAGGGTCTATTTCTGAATATGAATTTCCTTGAAATGTAACAGCTACTTCCTTGACATCAAGCTCTTTGAAAACTTTTAGATTGATCTTTGCAGTTATTGTATCTAAAGCTTGGTATGTGTATTCTTTGGAACCAAATAATGTACGGTCCATAAAGGAAATATCTATTTCAGCTGGGTGTTTTAGATTTTCAGAACTCATGATATTGATAACTCATCAATTCATTCAAAGAGAGTACAAATTAATCGGCTGTTTACTATCTTATGTATTCCATTACAGGTCAAGAACAGCTATATCTTACTATCATCATTCATATGTCGATTTTTGAATAGGTAATCGGATATGCAAGTCAATTCGATTGGATTTGGAGATTCTGGAGATGATACTTTTATTTTTGAAGTTACTTACAATTACGTCATATCGAACAATAATAGTTTTCATATACGCTGTAATTCGTAAATTCATATCTAAACAAGATTTAATTCTTTAGTGCTTCTCTTTGGTAGCTGATCCATAATTTGGTAGGCTTTCTTCAGGTTGTTGAGCTTTAGAATAATTATCATGAGTGAGTTTTTGCTTTTCGTCCTGTTGAAGTGTTTCAGTCTCTTCAACATTCAAACTAACAGGAGCAGCTGTAGTACCATCATATAATGGAGTGAAATCATCTGGTTGTCTAAAAGCCTCTGGTGGATAAGTTTTTAACACCTTTTTCGCTAATCGGGGAGATATCTGTTTGATTTGAATATATTCTTGTGGAGCTGGAACACCTGTTATGACAGTCACTGGTGTCAAAAATTCAACTTCCTTACTTAGCCAACTTTTTTTTTCTTCCTTAAATTTAGCCCGTATGTTTAACTTATAGTCTAATTTGATATTACATGTTTCAAATGTTGGATTAAAAGTAGGCACAAGTCCCATATAGGAAAGGGATATTGGAACTTCTAGTTGAAATGGATTCAAATCTACTCTGGTTTCATAAAATGGTATTGGTTCCAAATTTGCCAAATCTAACTTGATTGAAACATCTCTCAGGTGAATTAATTTATATTCTCTCTCCTCCTGCGTTGTCCAGCCTTCAGCAGTGACACTATAAGTACCAATCAAATATATTACAAAATCATTTAGTATGAACTGACCCAGTCCGGATGTTTCATTATCAATTCCTCTATATCTCTCAGGCCCATATCTAGATGTAAGAAAAACTCTTAAATCTGGTGGTTCAGGGATTTTCAGGATTGGACTTGAAAATCTGACTTCAAGAACAAAAGGTACATCATACTCTTGAGCAAATCTTGGTTTTGATTGTTTGATTCCAATCAATGATTTAATAAAACTGGAAGAAGTTTTATGAGGTGATTCTTTAACTGGTATTTCATAAGATTTTGGACCTGTTGGTTTCTCAGTCAATGCAATTCTCTTGTGTATTTTATCTGAAAACACAATGGAATTCTTCAAGACAAATGGGCGTTTATCTGGAATTATTTCTTCAATAATTGGATCAAAATTGGTTACCCATGTTCTTTGGTATTCTTGAAGATTTAACTTGAGCCATGAAGCTCTTCTAACTGTAACTCGGACTTCATAATCGATATCAGCAATACCTTCAATGAACGTTGAAGGGGGTAAAATTGTGTTACTGTGACCAATACCACGTTCCCCTGTGCCAGCTGTATATGCACAGATGTTTACCAAAGGAATTTTAAAAGCAAAATCATAAACATATTCACCTGGTGTTAAAGTAAACTCTTTATTATTACTAACCTTTCGAACATTTGGAGGTGGGAAAATGGTACATTCATCATAAGCAACTGTATGAGATTCTGACTTGGTGACTTTTCTATTTTTAGTATTACCATTTGTAGCTCTTTTCTCATTTACTTGAACTTTTGACTTAGAAATACCAGCAAATTTAACTGTGATATCCTTGACTCTGATTTCTTTGTGAACTTTCAAGGAAACTCTACCTCGAATGACGTCTAAAGGTTTATACTTGTAATCATTTGTATTGTTCAATTCTAGTATGATATCAGCTGTTCCTGAACCCATAGTATGAATATTTCAGATCTTGAACTGGTCAGCTATAGTGGATCTTGAAATCTGGGTCATTCCTAGATATTTATATTTTATATTAATATTGACTTTTAGATTTGTATTATCTAATCTGCTGAAAATTTACGAGATATGCAGTTGGATGTCGGAGTACTTATATGCAGCATTTCTTAATTAGTATATGTAACATGACTTCTAACTTTTGATAACGATTGAGCAACCAGTTTGCTTACGATGGTCAGGGACCAGGGTATATGTACTCCCTAAGCATTAACTGATATCTCTATTCAATGGAATATTAGTAGCACTAGCAACAGCCTGGTCACGTAATTAGTTGACGGATAACCTCGGCAACAAGTTATATACTACTAAATTCATCATATCAATCCGATCAGTACCTTCTGATAGTATATAGTGTTACATCGATATGTGATAACTTTAAGTTTCTATATAGTATCTGAGTACATAAAAAATGATAATTAATTTTGGTTCATATTAATCATGCATAATTCTAACTGAATTATTTTTTTGATATAGTTTGAAAATCTCTTGAAATCTTGTAGCATCAGCATAAGCAGGTAAATTAGCTTTTAGAGGTATACAGTGTACACTCACTTACAATTGGGGAAGGATCGAATCTCCTCGAGTTGAATCAGTTAATTCAGTCAATCAAATTAGCTATATATTTCAGAATCTTTGGTCTCTGTGCAATCATATCTCTACGAAAAGACTACAAAACACCTAGCTGAACTAAGGATTATTTTCAGAGTAAGCAAATTGTGAATAAATGTATCTAAGCAAAATCTGATGTACTTTTTCGATTATTTTTACTGCTCTTTGGTAGCTGATCCATAAGTTGGTAAGATTTCTTCTGCGTTTTGAGCTTGAGAATAATGTTCAGCAAGCTTTTGTTTCTCATTCTGTTTAGCTGGTTCTGGATGTTGAGCTGGAGAATATTGTTCAGTAAGATTTTGTTTTTCATTTTGTTTAGCTGGTTCTGGCTCTTCAACATTCAGGCTAATAGGAGCAGCTGTAGTATCATCATATAATGGAGTGAAATCATCTGGCTGTCTAAAAGCTTCTGGTGGGTAAGTTTCTAATACCTGTTGTGCCAACTGAGGAGGTATCTGCATCATTTGAATATATTCTTGTGGAGCTGGAACACCAGTTAATACAGTCACTGGTGTTAAAAATTCAAGTTTTTTACTACCCCAACTCTTCTTTTCTTCTAAAAATTTAGCCCATATGTTTAACTTATAATCAACTTTGATATTACATGTATCGAATGTTGGTTTCACAACATCAAGCACAACTGCATCTCCATAAAGGGAGAATGGGAGCTCCAATTGAAAAGGATTTGAATCTGCAGTGGTTCCGTGTAGTGGGTTTGGTTCTAAATTTGCCAAATCTAACTCCATTGAAAGATCTCTTTTGTGATTTAATCTATATATTCTCTGCTCCTGTACTGAACGACCTTCAGCAATGACACTATATGTACCAATCAAATATATTCCAAAATCTTCCAGTATAAACTGACCCAATCCAGATGTTTGATTGTCAATACCTCTATATCTCTCAGGTCCATGTTTGGATGTAAGAAATATTTTTAATTGGGGTACTCTGCCGATTCTCAAAAACGGGGTTGAACATCTAACTTCAAATACAAACGGTACATCATATTCTTGAGCAAATTTTGGTGGTGGTCCTTTGTTTCCAAATAATGATTTAATAAAATGGGATGATTTTTTACGAGCTGATTCTTTAATTGGTATTTCATAAGATTCTGGACCTGTTGGTTTCTCAGTTAACGCAATTCTCTTGTGTATTTTATCTGAAAAAACAATGGAATTTCTCAAGAAGAATGGATGTGTATGTGAAATTATATCATCAATTGGATCAAAACTTGTCACCATTGGATTCTTGTGTTCTTGAGGATTTGATTTGAACCATGAAGCTCTCTTTACTGTAACTCGGACCTGATAATTGATATTACCAATACCTGTAATACCCATTGAAGGAGGTAACCTTGTATCACCATGAGTAACACCTCGCCCTCCAGTATTTGTGAGGTAACATACGTTCCTCAATGGAATTTTAAAAGCAAAATCATAAACATATTCACCCGGTGTTAATGTAAACTCTTTACTATTACTAACATTCCTCACATTTGGAGGTGGGAAAATGATTCCTTCATCATAAGCAACAGTATGAAATTCTGTCTTGGTGACTTTTCGGTTTTGAGTATTCCCATTTGCAGTTCTTCTTCTTTCATTTACTTGAAATTCTGATCTTGAAATACCAGCGAATTTAACTGTGACTTCCTTAACACTGATCTCTTTGTGAACTTTCAAATTAACTCGTCCACGAATAACATCTAATGGTTTATATTTGTATCCATCTGTATTATTCAACTGTATGACAATATCAACTGTTCCTGAACCCATAGTATGATTGTTCCTGATGTTAAATTGACAAACAACAATAGATCTTGAAGTCTTGGAATTTCCTCGGTATTTATACTATTGTTGACTTTCAGATTTGTATTATCTAATCACTCAGATATTTACGAGATCTGCGGTCGGATGTCTTATTGCGCCATTTTCGGTCACATATAAAGGCTAATGTGCAGCATTTCTTTATATTAACATGACCCTTTAGGCAATTGGGTAAGCAGCTTCCCTGTGTTGGTCATTGTCTTTGTACGTAGCTAAGCGTTATCTCTCAATTGAATATTAGCAGCACTAGCGACTCTTCAGCCTAGTGCTATAGCAGCTAGGTGACGCGGATAAACTCGCCGAAAGGCTACTCCTATATAATTTTAAGAATAGTACGGATCGATTGTTTTCAGAGTAATTAATCTAGCAATATTTTGTATATATATAAATGTTGATATATATAGATTATATTATATTATAGCCAAACAGTACTATATATTGTATATTATATTGTATATTATATAGAAATAACTATCTAGCCAATTTTTTTTAAACATTAATTTTATTCTCGCTGCTCTTTGGTTGCTGATTCATAAATTGGTAGGATTTCTTCAGATTGTTCACAAGTTGAAGAATATATTTCATCTTCTGTACTATGATTTTGTTTCTCATCCTGTTTAGCTGGCTCTGACTCCTCGACATTCAGGCTAATAGGAGCAGCTGTAGTATCATCATATAATGGAGTGAAATCATCTGGTTGTCTAAAAGCTTCTGGTGGATAAGTTTCCAACACCTGTTGTGCCAAATGATGAGGTATTTTCATCATTTGAATATATTCTTGTGGAGATGGGATACCAGCTAATACAGTGACTGGTACTGTCAAAAATCCAACTCTCCCACTGTGCCAACTTTTCTTTTCTTCTCTAAATTTAGCCCATATGTTCAAGTTATAGTCTACTTTTATGTTACATGTATCAAATGTTGGATTTATAACATCAGGCACAACTGCATTTTCATAAATGAACGTTGGAATCCCTAATTGAAAAGGATTTGAGTTTGCTGTAGTTCCAAACAATGGGTTTGGTTCCAAATTTGCCAAATCTAGCACTAATGATAAGTCTTTCTTATAGACTAATTTGTATCTCCTCGCCTCCTGTATTGTACGACCTTCAGCGATGAGGTTATACGTAACAGTCAAATGTATTCCAAAATCGTCCAGTATGAGCTGACCCAATCCAGATGTTTGATTATCAACTCCTCTATACCTCTCAGGTCCATGTTTAGATGTAAGAAATATCATTAACTGTGGTACTAATTTACCAATTCTTAAAAATGGGCTTGAACATATTCTAGCTTCAAAACCAAAAGGTACATTGTACTCTCGAGCGAGACTTGAACGTGCTGGTCTTTTGTTTCCAAATAATGATTTGATAAACTGGGATGGCTTTTTACTAGATGATTCTCTTACTGGTACTTCGTAAGATTCTGTAACTTTATCTGAGAACTCTATAGAATTTTTCAAAAAAACAAGTTTTGTATTTGAAATGATATCTTCAATTAATGGATCAAAAGTGGTTACTAGAAGACTTTTGGATTCTTGAGGGTTTGGCTTGGACCATGAAGCTCTGTCGACTATAACTCGGATTTGATACTTAATATTACCAATACCATCGATATCCATTGAAGGAGGCAGCTTTTTATGACCATGAACCGTTGCACGATCCCCAGTCTTTGTAAGGTAGCATATGTTTCTCAAAGGAATCTTGAAAGCAAAATCATAAACATAATCACCTGGTGTTAATGTAAACTCTTTATTACTACTAACCTTTCTAACATTCGGAGGTGGGAAAATGACGACCTCATCATAAGCAACTATATGAGCTTCGGTTTTGATGGCCTTTCTGGCTTGAAACTGAAGCTCATTTGCAGTTAGTCTGCTTTCGTTTACTTGAACTTCTGACCTAGAAACACCAGAAAATTTAACTGTGACTTCTTTAACACTAATTTCTTTGTGAACTTTCAAGGAAACTCTACCACGAATAACATCTAATGGTCTATACTTGTATCCATTTGTATTGTTCAGCTGTATTGTAATGTCAACTGTTCCGGAACTCATAGTATAATAGTTCCTGATCCTCAATTGACAAACAACAATAGATCTTGAAGTCTTGGAATATCCTCGGTATTTATATTGTTATTGACATTCAGATTTGTATTATCTAATCTCTTGAAGTATTTACGAGATCTGCGGTCGGATGTCTTATTGCGCCATTCTCGGTCACATATAAAGGCTTATGTGAACTTTGAAGTATTTCCAGAATTTGAATTACATGACTTTAAGCGATTGGGTAAGCACTGAGCAGAGTTCTAATATTTATTGTTAGTCATGTGTAGAGAAATTTATAGTGTGATGGTCCCAAAGAGTGGTCAATAGCTAGATCATGAACTAGTACAGTTTCAACTAATAATGCAAAAGCCAACGTACATGCAACTTCCACTGAAACCACACGATATCGCTGACTCTATTATAACAAATAGAAGCATTTTAATCTTTTTAAGATATCTGGTCTTACAAACTATATGTAATTGAAATGGCTTCAAACCACGAACAGTTCAAGAATAAATATATCTATGCATAATTTAATGTATTTTCTCTGTTACCTGTTACCCCTATACTGATCTTGGGTAGCTGATCCATAAGTTGGTAGGCTTTCTTCGGGTTGTTGAGCTTGAGAGAAATTTTCTGTAGTAAGCTTTTGCTTTCCATCCATTTCAAGTGATTCAGTCTCTTCAATACTCAAACTAGTAGGAGCAGCTGTAGTGTCATCGTATAATGGAGTGAAATCTTCTGGTTGTTTAAAAACTTCTGGTGGATAAGTCTTTAAAACCCGTTGCGCCAACCTATGGGGTATATGATTCATTTGAATATATTCCTGTGGAGCTGGGACACCAGTTAAGACAGTGACTGGTCTGAAGAATTCAACCATTTTGCTATGCCAACTTTTCTTATCCTCTCTAAATTTCGCCCGTATGTTTAACATATAGTTTTTTTTGAGGTTACATGTTTCAAACGTTGGCTCTATATCAGCAGGGACGACTGCATCTCCATAAAGTGATATTGGAAGCTCTAATTGGAACGGATTAGAATTTGATGTAGTTCCATATATAGGGTTTGGTTTCAAGTTTGCCAAATCTAACATCATTGGAAGATCTCTTTTTGAGGTTAATCTATATGTTTTCTGATATGTTGTTACATGAACTCCTGAAGTGGCAGTATAAGTACCAATCAAATATATTCCAAAATCTTTCAATATTAACTGACCTAGTCCTGATGCTTGATCATCAATTCCTCTATATCTCTCAGGTCCATGTTTAGATGTAAGAAATATTTTCAACCCTGGCACTTGATTAATCTTCAAAAACTGACTTGGACATCTAACTTCAAAGACAAATGGTACATCAAACTCTTGAGCAAATTTTGGTGGTGGATCCTCATTTCCAAATAATGATTTAATAAAATGGGATGACTTCTTTAGCGATGATTCTCTAATTGGTATCTCATACGATTCTGGACCTGTTGGTTTTTCACTCAATGCAATTCTTTTATGGATTCTATTTGAAAACACAATGGATCCACGCAAAACAAATGGGCTAGTAAATCGAATTATATCATCGATTGGATCGAAACTTGTTACATTTAGACCTTTGCGCATTCGAGGATCTGCCCTGAACCATGAATCTCTTTTAACTTTAACTTTGACTTGATAATTGATCTTACCAATATCTGAAATGCCCATTGAAGGAGGTAACATTGTGTAACTATGGCCAGCGATACGTCTCCCAGTACCTGTATATGCACATATATTTCTCAAAGGAAGTTTGAAAGCAAAATCATAAATATATTCACCTGGTGTTAATGTAAACACCTTATTATTACTAACATTCCTAACGTTTGGAGGTGGGAAAATGACGCATCCATCATGAGCAAATATATGAGAATCCTTTCTGATATAAGTCCTTGTTTCAATTTTCTTTGTTTTGGGATTGTATCTTTTCTCGGTAACATAAACTTGTGAAATTGAAATACCATCAAATTTGACTGTGACTTCTTGAACATTGATCTCTTTGTGAACTTTTAAACAAACTCTACCGCGAATGACGTCTAACGGTTTGTACGTGTACGTCCCATTTGTGTTGTTCAACTGTACTGTAACGTTAATTGATTTTGATTCCATATTATGATTAGTTTAAAGCAAAAAATGAGGAACTAAAATTCAATTTCTAAAGTAAGAAATTCTTCTAGTATTTAAATATATGTTGGCTAGCTTTCAGTTTTTATTGTTCTCGCTTAATTATAAACAAATTTACGAGATCCATGTGGTGTGAACCGCGTGCCATTTTCTGTCACTAGTTAGGCCTATATGAATGTGGATAAACGAAGTAACTGCCAGGAACTACTAGGTTGATAATAAGTACAGTTTTCCGTCGACTATAACCTAGAAAACGATGGATTTGAGTTTGGTAATGTTAACACTTTATATTACTGGCAGAATTATATATCATTCACTATTATTGGCAGCTTCAACCCCCCTATTATTACTCTCTCAACATTTGTAATTTTTTATAATTATATCGACACAAGAAAAGAGCTAGCTATACATTGATCTCGAAGGTTTTGAAACAACTTTAAGACGTCTTATAATTGCAAATATTGATATATATCAGTTCTGGTTTCGGTTTTACATCAATCAGAGCCTCAAATCAGATCAATGTTAAGTACTGTATGTCCATAGGAACTTTTAACCTCTGCAAATTCGTTTATTATTAAAAGACTACAAAATATATAGTTGAAATCAATAATGTTGACAGACTAAGCTGTTTGTGAGTTAATATATCTAGACAGGCTCTAATGGACTCTATCTATTATCTTTGATGTTCTTTGGTAGCTGATCCATAAGTTGGTAGGCTTTCTTCAGGCTCTTGAGCTTGAGAATAATGTTCATCAAGTTTTTGCTTTTCATCTTGTTTAACTGATTCAGTCTCTTCAACATTCAAGCTAGCAGGTGCAGCTGTAGTATCATCGTATAATGGAGTGAAATCATCTGGTCGTCTAAAAGCTTCTGGTGGGTAAGTTTCTAACACCTGTTGTGCCAAATGAGGAGGTATCTGTTTCATTTCAATATATTCTTGTGGAGCTGGAACACCAGTTATGACACTGACTGGTTTGAACAATTCGACTGATTTACTATACCAACCCTTTTGTTCTTCTAAAAATCTAGCCCGTATGTTTAACTTGTAGTCCACCTTGATGTTACATGTATCAAATGTGGGTTTTATGCCTTTAGGCACAGTTGCGTTTTCATAAAGGAATCTTGGGAATTCTAATTGAAAAGGATTTGAGTCTTCTGCAGTTCCATATAATGGGTTTGGTTCCAGATCTGCCAAATCTAAATTCATTGAAAGATTTCCTTTAAAGGTTAATCTATATGATATTCTCTTTTGTATTGATCTGTCTTCAGCAATTACACTATAAGTACCAATCAAATATATTCCAAACTCTTCCAGTATAAAATGACCCAATCCAGATGTTTGATTATCAATTCCCCTATATGTATTAGGTCCATATTTAGATTTAAGAAATATTTTCAAGTCTGGTGCGGCTTGATTAATTCTCAATATCGGACTTGAACATTCAACTTCAAAAACAAATGGCACGTCATATTCTTGAGCAAATTTTGGTGGTGGTTCTTTGCTTCCAAATAATGATTTGATGAAATGGGATGACTTCTTACGGGTTGATTTTCTCATTGGTATTTCATAAGATTCTGGACCTGTTGGTTTCTCAGTCAATGCAATTCTCTTGTGTATTTGGTTTGAAAGCACAACGGATTTTCTCAAAGAGAATGGCTGTGCATATGATATTATATCCTCAATTGGATCAAAACAGGTTATATTTGGATATTTATATTCTTCAATATTTGATCTGAACCGTGAAGCTCTTCTGATGGTAACTTGGACTCTATAATTGATACTACCAACACCTGTAATTCCCATTGAAGGAGGTAACCTTGTGTCACCATGACCCCTAGTACGTTTCCCAGTTCCACATCTGTTTCTCAAAGGAATTTTAAAAGCAAAATCATAAACATATTCACCTGGTGTTAATGTAAAAGCTTTATTATTACTAACACTCCTAACGTTTGGAGGTGGGAAAATGATACATCCATCATAAGCAACTGTATGAGTTTCGGTCTTGCAAATTCTTTCGTCTTCCATTTCCCCAGTATCCATATTCCTTCTTCTCTCAATCACATAAAATTGTGACCTAGAAGTACCATAGAAGTTGACTATGACGTCTTTAATATTGATCTCTTTGTAAACCCTCAAAAAAACTCTGCCACGAATGATGTCTAATGGTTTATACTTGTACCCATTTGTATTGTTCAGCTGTATTGTAATGTTAACTGATTTTGATCCCATATTATGATTAGTTCAGAGTGAAAAATGACCAACAACAATAGATTTTGAAAGTCCGAACTCCAAAGCATAGGATTCTTCTAGCATTTAAATATATTGGTTTTGAGTTTTTATTCTCTATCATTCACGAGATCTGCGGTCCGAAGTCTATTGTTCCGTTATTGAAAATAATGACATGCTAACACTAGCAGATCAAATATATCATGTCTACCGAATGAGTAGCAGCTTCAACTCTCTTATTTTTCTCTCAGTAGTTTCTAAAATTTCAACTGGACCCAAGTGTATAGATCATGTTCATCTCAAACCACATAATCAACGATATCCTGTAGCATCAGCATAAGTTGGTAAATTAGCTCTTGCTGGTATACTTTCACTTGCCATTGGAGGAGGAATACCACCAATCAAATCAATCCAAGTGTCAATAGAAACTTCTTTAATCTTTTTAGAATCTTTGGTTTCCGCAAACCCTGCAGTTATCTTTAGTTTATATTTTCTTTCCATATTACAAGTCTTGAAATTTGGTACTAAAGAATATGGAATAACCGCATTTGAATATAGTGATGTTGGAATCTCTAGCTCATGTAATGCAGATCCTGTTTGTTCATTGATAGCTTTAGATTTTCTTGCATATGCTAAGTCTAATTTTCCACTGACGGATAATTGGCATAATGTAATCACTTTATAATCTTGTCTTTTGAATTCCTGTGATACAACATTTGTCACTATGAATAATTCAATTTTTAAATTTTTAAGATAAACTGCACCCAATCCTGAACTTTCACCATTCATACCAATATATTTTTTGGGGTTTGCCTTTGAAAGAACATATAGCTTATAAGTTGGTGATTTCCCCACTGTTTGAAACAATCCATTAAATCTTGCTTCAAAGAAAAAAGGAACATCATATGCAGTTATTGTAGGTGGTTCATTCTTCGGTGGTGTTGGTGGTGGTTGTGGGATAGATGTTGAAGATTGACTAATATCATCTGAACTTCCAAAAAATAAGGTTTTTAAGAAACTTGAAGATCTCCTCTGTGGTGATGGTGGTGTCTGATAGCCTTGTCCGCTATAAGGCCTCTGAGGTTTATCTATTATTGCTATGATTTCTGGTATTTTATCTTTGAAAACTTGCTCTTTCCTTATAAAGTTTAATTCTCGACTTGAACTATTAAGATGTTCTAATGAATCAAATGGTATAAATCTAAATGGTGAAAACTTTCTGATATTAGGCTTGATTATTGAAGTTCTTTTAACTGTGACTTTTAAGAAATAATTGATTTGCCCTAATTCTCCAAGATCTGATAAGGAAGGTGGTAATGGGCCTCTAAAATGAGCAGAATTATTACTATTCAACTGATCTGAATTCCTTCTAACAACCTGAAATTTATTAGTTATACCATTCGTTGGAGCATTATTACTACCACATGATGATTCTAAGGGGAGTTTGAATTCAAAATCATATTCATATTCACCTGGTGTCAGTGTAAACTCTTTAGCCGAACTAACTTGTCTAACGTTTTTTGGTGGGAATATCGTTCTGGTTTCATATAGCAGTCTATGACTTTCTAATTTTGCAATTTCCTTTTCCTTTCTTTTAACCAAGTGTTTTTCTCTTATTATTGATTGTGAAATACCTTCAAGTTTTATTTGGATACAACTTAGTGAGATCTCTGATCTGACGTTAACATAAACTTTCCCTCTTATCGTATCAAGACTTGTGAAGATGTTTGATGGTCTGAGTTCTTGAGCTTCGATCTTTACTTCACATGCAGAAACCATCTTGGACACATGAGAACTGATGTTTAGATCTAAATTGTCTGATGTTGATAAGCTTTTCTAGTAGATGATGAATAATAAAGTATAATGGTAAATCCGTGAGCCGGGGTGAATAAGCAGTTTTTGATGAACAATGATATGATTCTTGGTGATGAATAGACTGATTTATCGATAATAATTGAGCACCAAACTTATCAAGATAACGATTGTTCAATGGAAAACATGTACCTGAATATTTTCCAAAACTTTAAACAGCTCTTGTTTATATTTTTTGCTAATTTCAACAAATTGTGCTTCTCGTAAACAAAAATTTCAAAATCTACAAATCTGACATAATCTCCAGCCATCTCTATGCCTAGTTTCTAAAATTACACATAACAATCATTAAATTAATTTTGTTTTCTATACAAACTCACTAGCTGAGTTCTTCAAGAATCTAATAGCTAAATAAGTGATATCTGCCATAACAAATTTCACAATGTTTTCCCCAAGGAAATTAACAACCAAATTGAATTGTTCTACTGTACCTGAATTTTGTGATATTTGTCTCTTGATAGTATTCAATGTGAATTGTAAGTTCTCAATAGCTTTGATGTATTCATGTATTGTGGCTTGATCTTTCACTGATCTTGAAGATGCTGTTGAAGAAACAGATATGGAACGTGAATGAAGGTTAACTCTTGCTTTTTCGATTGTTGGACTTGTAACATTGGATGATTGAGCTTGATTTAATCGGGTATCTGGATTTAATGAATGTCTTTTAGGTTTAGCTTTAATTTTTCCTCTGAATTTGTCCAAAATCAATGAATTTCTCTTCTTTTTCTTCTCAGTATCTGGTGAAGATGGTAAATCTTTATTGTTATTTGGTATTGTATTGGAATTTGTCTTGGTAATTGGGATGGAAGATGAAGTTCTATTTAATGAATTCTTTAATGATTCTCTTGAACTTGTCTTATAAGGTTTTGAAGTCATTATACTTGAATTTGTAGATACTGTATCACTATCAAATGAAGAATTTGAATTTTGACTTTCAGTTTGAAAAACATCAAAGGCATCCATCAATTTTTTATAGTATAATAAAGTTGGCTCCACTGTAGATAATTTATTACTATCGTTATTATCACCACCAAATTTCCTAAGTAAAGAACTAATTTCTTGAATGATATTGATTTTAACTGATCCATTTAATATAGTTTCTGGTTGTTGATAAATTTTTCTATTTAAAAAGACATTATTTGTTAAGAAGATCGCACCTTCTTCAGATTGATATGATTCAATAATCTTGTCTAATACATATTGTGATCTCTCTATCCCGCTTTCGGGTATCTTCAGATTTTCTTGTTGTGTTGTTGATATATCATCCCATTTATTGAATAATACTCTATCATCAAAAGCAGGGGTTGTATTTGAAGCAGATTGTTTCAAGCTTGGACTTGAATTTAAATCCTGATTATTATTATTAACTTGTGATACTATATTATTGACATCATTGAAGTTTTTTGAATTGAGTGAAAAACTATCAGTTGAACACTCTTCATCAGATTGATAAACTTTGACTAACCCAACTTGGAAATTATTGAAGTTACTTGAGGTGAAAGAAGGACTAGAAACTATTGAATCTCTTTGGTAATGATGATCAGAAAAAACTCTTCTTGGTGGACTGGTTATACTGTTTCTATTGTAATTCATATCTGCATATTTATTTGAAACTTCCAACGTCTTTTGATGATATTATCTCCTGTTGAAAAGAAACAATCGTACGATTATCTATCGGTTGTAATCTGTTCTTAGACGGCTTAAAGGTATGACTGTTTATGAATGTTAACGATATGTCGTAATTGGCAAAGATGATCAGGTTGTTGAACACTTTGAACTTTTTGGAATGTAATGTTCAAAAAGTGTACCTGACTGGAGATAAAATTTGAGGTTAAGCGAAATCAAAAAATTTTAGTGAAGCCTTGATTATACAACTGTGGGTGATTTTCTCTTAATTTCCCATTCAGAGCTCACTTAGAATAACCAAAGATTCTTTGTAATCGCTCTTCACTGTCGATTGCGTCTGTGGGTCGTAATTGTTGTTACTGTAGCTGTGCATCTTTCTTTCAGATTGATTTCGTACTAATTGTGTGCTTTGGTCTGTTGGGTCAAATCAAATCACAGCTTCAGCACTGCGCCTAAAACGGTAATATGCGGTCACGTGCACCCGCTTTAATTTCGAGTTTTAGTGTTTTAATTCAACCAGATCAACTACAAAAATGCTTTTATTTAAACGCCTGTGGTCCTATTAATTAATCATATATAATTCTGGAAAAATTAAACTAGCTCTTTATCTTATTATTCACTGGAGTCCACATGAATGAAAATGAAAATCAACAATAAAATAAATTTGGTATATATTTCTCCAGCCTTACATTCCATTATTCAAAAAAGCTTTTCATGATGCAACCTCTTTCTCTTTTCCACCTTCAACTGGCTCGTCAATGAATTGTGGAACTTCACTTTCATTATTCAAATAACTTGGTAATCCTGAACCAATCTCACCTTGTAATTCTTGTTCATAATCAATTTCATCACCTAATGCCTCTAATTCTGCATCTAATTCACCTTCACTAATTTCATCAGGAACATCATAACTTGTAGCAAGGGCATCTTGAAGCTCATTACTCTTCTCTATTAAATCCAGCATCTCATCCTGAAGATCTTCGATTTTATCAACATCAATTTTACCATATGTTTTCTTAAGTTGTTTATTTGTAGTCTTCATAGCATCAACTGTAATCATTGTATTTTGTAAATTATCAGTAGTCATTTGAGCTTGTGTCATATTCCAAACTTGTGAATCTAATTGTTGTTTTTGTGCTTCAATTTGACGACGTTGCTTCAACAAATTTAATGCACGTTGTTTTATGGTCTTTTTACCTGGACCTTCTCTCATACGACTTAACTTTTGTTGATATGTTTGTAGTTCTGCATTTATTTTGGCCAATTTGACATCCAATGATGATATTCTTTCTTCAATCTAAATCAATATTGTTAGTATTTTGAAAACTGGGGGATCTTCACGAGTCATCGCCACTCACATTCCCAACAGCATCATTTAATGTTGGCTTTGGTACATTGCTCTTGGATCCAAATAATCTATTCATATTTGAGTCTTGCACTCTCTGTAATCAATCACTCGGTAATTTGATAGTTGTAAATGACTTCCCTAATATCATCATAGGTTTGAAGCTATGATAATTGATTGCAAAGTGCGAAAAAATTAAAAACTGTGAGCCGGACACTACATACATACTACATAGTACACACACCATCAACCTTAAATGCTATGTTAAAAATACTATCGTCACACCTTAACTACATGCTAATTGGACTTTAACAAGCTCCAATAGTGATATGAGCCTAAATCTACACGATAATTGATAGTTTTTACCAGCTCCAAAATCACGTAGTATTGATAACTCTCTATACTATTGCTTAAATTCTTTTGGCAAAGGACTATGAGGTACTCTATTATAATCCTTTGATTGATCCCTGAAGTAACCACATTCATCTGGAGGAATGACATCTATTGGACTAGGGTTAACCACTCTCAATTGAGTGTGTCTTGGTGGTGCTTTTCTTCTTCTCTGTTGGTTTTGTTGTTGTATTTTACTTTGTTTTTTAGATGAATATAGCCCTGGAGGATGTTCTAATGGGAATATGTATCCGTCATTGGAGAATTGATAACGTTTGTCTAGTGATTTTCCTTGATTTTGTAAACCTGATTGAACATTATTCTCTTGTGGGTTTTGGTTTTCAGAAGATTCTTCACTTGAATCTGAACTTACCTCAGTGCAACCTTCTGTAGATTCATATGGAGCAACAACATCATTTTCTAATTTCATATCACTTAATCTTTGTTCTGTATGAAGTTTAGTGTTTTTGCCATTTTGAGATCTCAGACCTATCTCCTGTTTCTTAGCAATTCCCCTTCTGCTTAAAGTAATGGCATTGTAATTTTTGTGATATTGTGCAATAGTTATTCTAATTTCTAAAATCTCTTCAAATGATTTATCCGCCATCATTTCTTCCGTAAATGTATAAAGTTCAGGGTCATTTTTTGACGTTAATTTATCCGAGTCTCTAACCTTTGAGTTATGTTTCTTCTTTTTATCATATCGAGATTCAAGTCTAAGGATCTTTTTCTCAGGATATGGGACAAGTCTATATGGTAACAGAGTCTTCAGTTCTGATGTTTCTCTAACTTTTTGTCCTTTTAAAGCTGAATTGATGGGTCTTAAGGTATTATTTCTTGATAGCAAATCCCATTGGACTTTTTTGACAAAAGGCCCTTGAAAAATAGTCTGTCCTTTTCCTTGTTCTTGTCCTAATTGTTTTACCTCTTCACCATCTTTTAAAATACCATTACGATAAACCTCATAATTAGCTGCCCATTCTTGTCCATCAAAATCAATCTTCGGATCATCTTTAACTATCTTATTTATTCCTTTTGCCAGTCGATTACGCAGAAGATTGAACTTTTGTTTAACATCAAATTCCCTTCTTGGTTGTGAATTTTCATCAGAGCTAGAATCTGAATCTGATCCACTTGAGCTTATAAGAGCTCCCTCTCCATTCCCTGTGTAAAATTGATTATCTGAGTATAAACCTTTGGATTCCAACTCCAACCTTCTAAGCTCCTCATATTCATCATCTACAACTGCAACTGCATCCCCTAGCTCTTTGTCACATTCAAAATTCTCTATTCTGTCTAGCACATATCCAAAAGTTTCCACGTCTTCCTTGGAGAATATAGAATCAGTAAACGTATCATTCTCCGAATGATCATACCCTTGACCAATGGAACTATCATCAACATATCCATCTTCACCTTTGTAAGTCTCAATTGACTTCTTCGAATTAGAGTAATTAGCATCATTCGACCACTGATAGTCAGTTTCTAGCTCCTCAAACAAATCTAGTGTCTCATCATCCAATGACCGCAACACATCAATTTCATAGCTTTTAATCTTCTCATTATGATCGTCTGGATCAACATCAAGACTTGATGCTATATAGTCATCAACAATGCTGCTAGTAGCAGCCTCAGCTCCCCGATTAGAAGCTCTATACCTAGCTCCTTTATTCAATCTCTGTATGCTTATCACGTTATCAGCTAACTTCTCTGTCATTATTACCTGTCACCAACGATCTGATGTTGTTGAACAGAAAATGCGAGTTAAGCAGAAAAAAGTGGGTTTTCTGTTCAGTTATATATAGATATATCATTGAGAGGTTTAAATTGGATCATAAATCATATTTTTCGTGCTGACGTCTTGTATGGCAGTTGAATTTGGCTCTCATTCGAAAGCACAAATGGTCTCGAGAAGTTTAATTGATAACTCAAAATTCATAGTATTCACCTTTATGCACATTGTATTGCTTAGTCCGTACCCTTTTGATGTAAAGCTTCCTTCAACACTTTGTTACTATCATACTATCAAGATCTGATAGATCAATATCACGATTCACCGTATTTCAAATGTTCTTTAATAGCATTAGCATGTGTAGAAGTTGTAAATTATTGATTTATTGGAGATTACGGGCCCAGTAAAAAATACTCAAAACAATAATCCCGTACCGCACTATCAGGCAAATGATAGAACTACTTCATTTCAACAAAGACTAGAAATCACACAATTAAAGTGCTGTGTAATTATGGCACTTCTATCACACTCTAAAAGGCCAAAGTTCCTCTTTTCGCTACGGATTCAAGAACTAGCAAACATTCCAAAAGTATCAGGGGCTTGTTATGTCAAATGGTATCTTAAAGACTCGCCAACACAACAAACCAGAGGGCGTACTCAAAAAGTACATATCAAAGACCATAGAGCTTATTGGGGATATGACTATGAAGCATTAGTAAAGCTGGGAATAAATAGAAATAAATTACTGCAAGATAAAATTCTTGTTTTAATTGTTTACACTGAGAATTCACATCATCATCACCATCATCAAAGAACACACTCAAAGGATAATAATTCATCACTGAATCCAAACCCTCAAAATCAATTGGATCATCGCCCACTTATACCAGTTGATAAATTAGAAAACTTGGATGAAAAATTAATACCCACCACTGATCAAAAGACAACATTAGGTAAAATTGAAATAAACTTAGCTGAATATGTCAATTACGAAGAACCTACTTCGAATAGATATCTGTTACAACAATCCAAAATAAATTGTATATTAAACGTTAAAATTGGTATGGAGCTAATCAAAGGTGAAAAATCAGAGTTCATTGCCCCTTCAATGAAGAACTCAAATGTATTTAAAGGTATTTCAAATGTTTTCAATGAATCATCTGCTTTCCATGAAAGTATAACTAGACCAAGTTCTGCTGCTCCATCTCATAATAAGGCTAATAGTGCATCAGGTATGAGTAGTCCAGACTATAAAAACCATAAATCAACAATGGCTATAACTTCAGATCCTATTGTTGCTAAATTATATGAAAAAACATTCGAGATTTCTTGGGATCCTAGACCAGGTGAATTTACTGCTGGTGAAAGTGTTGATGATATATTCAATGGCGGAGATGGCTGGGCTAAAAACGAAGAAGGTATCAATCTGATTGATTTGGATATTGATGCTAATAGAACTCAAAATCCCCTACATCAAGTCAGTGACTATAAGGGTGATACTACAACCCAAGCTCTACTTAAAGAATCAGATATAAGAGAAGATTTGAAAAGTTGGTCTATTAATCATACACTTCCATAATAGAAAATAACATTCAAGAAAAAACTTTTGGGACTGATAATTGCTTGACAAGGTTCAAATCATTGCAATTGTTTGATGTGTGTATGAACGTGGATTATGCTGTGGTAAATCAACAACTGAAACATCTCTATGCAGTCTGAAACTTTTGAGATACCTATGCTTGCTATTGGTTCTGGCTGTTTGGGGTCTCGTTATAACATCATGATCATCTTTCATTGAAGGAGTAACATCACCGGCCCAATGTTGTTTTAATGAAGATCTTTTAGAAAGATTGTTAACTGAATGATACATTTTAACCCTTTTGGATAATTTTTCTGAAGATTCCGGGGTATATCTGTTATTGGTATTAGGACCAGCACTAGAAGGATGGGAATGATCAAATTTTTGCTTAACTTTATACAAGACTCTAGAATTTCTATCTGAATGTTGAGTTGGATTTCTTTTAGATTGATTCTGTGGTGTTCCTGGTGATGAGCTTGGTAATTTCAAAGATGGTAATGATACTTTTCTAGATGCTTTACCTGCACTTTGCTTGTTATGGAATATTGAGGAGTTTGTTGATGAGGGCTCTGGAGTCATTCTTACCAATATGTTATCATCAAAATCGATTGATTCAGCTTCACTGAAGCTATCAGCACTTTGGAGAAACCTCAATGGTGATTCATAAATTGATGCATTGATACAATAACAGTCTTCTCTGTGACACTTAGATGTTTCATCAAAATTTCCATAAATACATCTATACCTTCTATCATCATGAAACCCTTTAAACTTTCCCCTTTTAATATATGCTGTCTCAAACTTAAGGTCTGATTGTGGTCGAGGTGAACTGTTATTATATTTTGTATTTTCAATACTCAAATTAATGAATTGATAACTTTTTGGGCTTGGACTAGTTGAAGCATCCTCTGTGGGGTTTTCATTAGAATCTTGATTTTGGTTTGAAATTAAATGTGATTCATCTTCAACATGAACATTGTCTTTGACTTCAATCTTTGAGCCAACTGTTTTTTTATTCTCACTTCTGCTTTGACTTATTGAATAATCTGAATCTGATTTGGTTGAGTAAAGATAAGTGTATGAATCTTCTTCGTCTTCATCTTCTTGATTATCATCTGAACAACCCTCGCTCTTTATATCGTTTGAGCTAACGAATAACCAATGATCATGCCTTTTGACTGTGGTTTGACTTCTAGCTCTGTTGTTTCTTTTGATTGATTTCTTTGTGTTCATGTTGAGTGGTTAGGAATAATAAGACCAACGAAGTATTCTTCAATATATGTGCAAAAAAAGTATTAGCAATGGGATACAATATATGGATTTGATAACGTAGCAAATGTTTAATTCTGACAATCTATAGTTCTTATCATTAATTCAATATCAAGGTATCAAGGTTTCTATATTTTTAGGCGCTATAATTAATTTACGGGGGATATTCAACTTCGGCTTTTTGACACAAAAAGCTTCAAATTTATATTACCTATTAACCAAAATCATTAAATTCTATACAGGGCGTGCTAAAAACCACCCCAATGTTTAATCTCAAAACCCAAACCCAGATTGTTCCATAAATTCATAAAAATGCACACAAATAGCAAAAACTCGTACTAAATCAGCACCTTTTTCTTCTTTTTGAATATACCTAAAGTTGCCCTTTTATAAGGGGTAAACGAGCGACAAAGACTGCATGGACCACCAGCTTTATTACTTTGTTTTGTAGAGCTCAAAGCTTTGAAAACACAATCACCACAATATATATGACCACAAGGTAATATATAAGTGTTCTCTGGACTATCAAAACAAACTGCACAATGTGCATCCTTCAAAGTTGAATTCTCATTACGTGAAGCTTCTCTTAGTTGTTCCTCCACAGTTTTCTGTTGTGTATCTTTATCTTTATCTTTTGAATCATCATCGTCGTCTGATATAATGTAATACTCTTGTAAGTCGTCATCATCATCGACATCTATCACATCCTGAGGTGCTGGGGTATTTTGATTAAAAGATGGTTGAGACTGTACTTCAATTGGAGCAGTTGCTGGTGTTTGATTTCTAGCTGGTGTTTCTGATGCCACTTCCCTAGTTATCTGTATATCATTATCTTGACTGATATCACTCAGGTCACTTAAAGGTGTTGTTGATCTTGAGTTATTATGTGTATACGGTATATCATCGTCGTCTTCAGGCTCCACGATGTGATTATCTTCAGTCCTTTGGCGCTTGTTTGCAAGGGAGTCGTTCTGCCTCAGTGGTTCCTTTATATCTCTTGACCTTTTAGGCATTCTTTTGTGTGTGTGCTTCTCTTGGATTCTATCTTCTGGATGATACTTTTAGAGTAACCAATATGTGTGATACTTATTTGCCATAATCTTCGCAGATAAAAGAAACCAAAACAACACGTTAAGGGCTTAAATGTACACTCATCACATGATATCTTTAAAGGGCTTTTTAGCTCAAACACCCAAACACCAACAACTTATCGAATTTTCAGGTTCGCACTCATTTCGTTAAGCGCAGTGTTGATCGAGCCATTTCTAACTAGTATGTGTTCGCGAACAATCAATTTTCCCTCTGAGTTTCTGGCTAGGAGCAACAGTCACAGATTTTTTTTTTCATTTTCGAGAAGTCCCATTCTGGTGCAGAGCGAGGGAAGGTCTGTGAAAAATTAATATAGCGTTTTCTACATACAACATCAACTAGTGTTAGAAGAGATAGACAACCAGAATATAACATAACAATGTCAAGTGGTGCTTCAGGTAACAAATATCGTGTTTCAGTATGTCTATATCAAAGAAGCAGAGTTCAAATGGGTCATATATGAGTGTTTTATCGTATCATTAAAGAAAGAAATTTATCATTAAAGATTTGAATCATCAAAATTGAAATAAAGACATAGGACTAGGGAAAATATGTCCATATAATTGACTTTAGTGGAGCAGCGTAGTATCAAGTATTTCAAGGTTCCTATGAGATTAGAGCACATCAGAACTAGAAGATAACAATTATTGGAATATTAAGATTTGGCACAAATATTTAGTAATATAAAGGAAATTTTCAAATATACCAAAATAATAAATTGAAGAATACCATCACAAACAGATTAGGATTGAATTCGATACCATACAATATTGAATTACTAAGATTAGAACACTCATTTAACCCACATTTAACTCATATCTTTCAAAATATTTTACTAACAAATGTACTATAGTTAGGTTTACCAACCGGTGCCGTCATCAACTGTGCTGATAACAGTGGTGCTAGAAACTTATATATCTTAGCCGTTAAAGGTTGTGGTGCTAGATTAAACAGATTACCAGCTGCTGCTGTTGGTGATATGGTTATGGCCACTGTTAAAAAAGGTAAACCAGAATTAAGAAAGAAAGTTATGCCAGCTATTGTTGTCCGTCAAGCTAAATCATGGAGAAGAAAAGATGGTATTTTCTTATACTTCGAAGATAATGCTGGTGTTATTGTCAATCCAAAAGGTGAAATGAAAGGTTCAGCTATCACTGGTCCAGTCGGTAAAGAATGTGCTGATTTATGGCCACGTATTGCCTCAAACTCTGGTGTTGTTGTTTAAGATGTTTCTACTGTTACGTTTTTCTGTTATATAAATGATGTCAATTACTGCTATTACCATGGGGAGAGTTTAATACAAGAATATGTAAAATACGGGTTTTCAAGATCGAAATTGTAGTGCTTAAATTATAAAAAATTCTACGTAGAACGAATATTGAAAAAAAATCGTGAAGGGCCACTACTTTCAAACTCAGTTATTATTCTTCACTATTGTTAAAGTACGAGAAGGTTAAAACATCAACAACGATTATTATTGATCTAAGTGAAATTCGAGCTTCTGTGCTATGTTATTATGTCTAGCAAGTCCCTCTTCAATCTATTAGGTGAGTGCTTCTCGTGGAAATTAGGGGGTCAATGATAATTGAAGTCATGAAAATACTAACGCAATTTTTAGTCAAACTTGAATCAAGCAAAGTAAAAGACAGAAATGATGGGTTATCAGGTCTTGAATCATATATCAGTTCAAACTCCAATCTCAATAATAAGGATCTCACAAACTTGTGTCAAAGTCTTTTTGGATTTTTAGAGGCCGAAAAGAATACATATAGGAAGAATCAAACTACCGCTGTGGAATCCAGACTACAAACATCAAGTTATCTTTTGAGAAAAGTAATAGTGCAAAATGTCCAACAAATGAAATTCAAACTTGTCAAAGAAACACTTAATAACTCAAGAGAAGCCTTGTTTACCCATGATGATGAGATCATAAGGCCGTTGGCTTTGAATATTTCTAAAATAATACATGCTATCATTGCAACTGATGAGCATAGAGAGCATATATCAAGTAACGATTGGATAAAGTTACTTGAGAACATATTAAGAATCTTAAACAAACAATTGTCAAAAAGTATGACTGATAAATTTGTGTCGGAACTTTTGGGTGCTTTAAAAATAATGGTGGTTCATCCCCAGATGGTTATCGAAGATTTAGGGTACGACCTTACAGAATTTTTAGTAAAATACTTCAATCTTATGAAGAAAGAAAATTCATTAACATCATCAATACTAGAAATAACAAATCATTTGATAATACAAATGAGTACTAGTAAGATACGGTATAGTGTGAAACTTGTAAGAACTGTTGTCAAAGTTGCAGGTTCAATGATTAGTACAAATTATGAGTCTCTTAAAGATCAGTTACTTGTCTTCGGATTGGTTTCAAGTGACTTCATCCTTGAAAATTTACCCAAAATGATTGATGTTGAAGATTCACAAGGAGACATGACTGATGATGATGGTATCAGGGATGATTTAACATATTGGTTAGATCAATGGATTCAATTGATAATCAGAAGTCCTTCGGATTCGCTATCTTTAAGTGATATCGATTTTACAAATGAATCCCAAGTAAAGAACACTTGGTTTAAATTTGATGGTATTAGGTTGACCCAAAATGGAAACTTTAAATCGTGGCTTGTTGTACTCTCATTAACAAATTTGATCTCTGTTTTATATCATCTTCATAAACCGCAAAGGTTGATGATTGAAGCTCCAAATAAAAAAAGAAAGCTAGATGTTCAATCTTTTTCGAATGTTATAGAGCGCTCATCTGGACCTTTAGAACTTTTGAACCATTTCATTCATTCTGGTGACGTTCGGTTACAGTATTTGGGATTCCAAGTGATGATCTTCTACATCCATAATCATGAATTGGACTTTAGATATTTCAAAATTGATGAAATAATTGCATTCCATGATAAGCCTGAGGTATCTGGGTATGCTTCACTTCTTGTTGGTACCCTACTAAAATATGGGTGGAAATTAACTACCAACCAATTATCTCAGCTATTGAGAATCAATCTACAAATGCTCAAAGATAGATCTTTAGTGAATATTTCCTCACAAACAATAATTTACATACTAAGCACTCCTGGTTATGTTCCAACTGACTCTTCTTTGAAGCTTCAAATCCAAGCTATGTTTGAATTTTCTGAACTTAACGGGCCTGTTATAATTACCAACAATTCTTTAAAATTTTGGGTTTTGTTCTCGCAGTTGGGGAAAGAATATAGGTCAGGGAATAAGTTTGCAGGGGATAGAATTATTGACTGGCTAATATCCAAGTGGGATTATGAATTGGTTTCTAGTGCTGCCAATTTTCCTGAATTTGTTTCCTGGTTAGCTGGTCTGGAATTCTCATGTCAGGATACAGAAATTATTTATGAAAATCAATTTTATAATTTCAATTTAAGGTGGCTGTCAAGGTCTGATTTAGCTGGTTATATTTTGTGTCTTGATAAACCAGTTTTGAATATAGGAGTTAAACCAAATTTCAACATTTGCAAAGTTGAAGCTGATCATGAAGGACTATCACAAATTGTTGATAAGCTGCTATACACTATGGAACTGTATGACTCTCAAGGGGATATTACTCGGTTGTTCAAGCTGGTGAAAGACTCCTACTTCATATTTCAAGTTATTCAGAGAAATATGCATCTTGAAAGCTCTACGGAGAGGTTGAAATATGACATTAGAAGGTATATTGAAAACCTTGATTCTGAAAATTTTGCATATATTAGTGAAGCATTGTTTCAATTGCGTGAATGCAAACCTTTAAACGAATCTGGGGAATTCATTTTTAGTTGTTTTGATATACAAGAACTAGTTTCAGATTTCAAAAAGGCGAATGAAAATTCAAAGCTCAACAGGTCAAGTGCTGACGTTCCGATGGTTATGAATGAATTTGATGACTTTGGTGACATCAGAAAGGAAAGCGATGAATTTGAATCACAGGTCAGTAAAACATATTTTGATGTCGTTAGCTATAAAACCAATGAACAAAGGCTATTAGAGTTCATCATTTCAGTTTATTCTAGGTTTTCTAATACAAAAAATGTGAATACTACTATTGATCAGGCTATTAGGTACCTAGAGGATGTTGATCCTGAAGTTTTTTCAAGTGCATTTTTCACTTTGCTTGAGTATTTAGATAAAGTTGAAACCACAAAAATCCAAGCTTTGTCAATTAGCAGATTGTTGAGACTGCTTGGTAATAAGCTGCTTTCTTCATACAAATATGAAAGATCTCCAATCACTATCGTTTTAGCTTCAAGACTATTCATTGCCTTTACCAAACCCTGGCTCCAACGAATAAATGAAGATTGGGCATCCGATTATTCAGATATGTTCCAGTGGATAGTTGCTTTAGCAGAAAAGGGTTTGATTACAGAAGAAATGTCTTCATATTATTTCACAAAGTCTATATTTGTTAAGCTTTCACATGAATCAGATTTAAGCACTCAAGAGGCTGGTATCAATATGTTTCAAAGATCTACTAATCTTAATAAAATCAGACTTTGCTCTGATCTCAAGTCATTCTTGGTAACGCTACCTTTTAATGATCAGATACGTTGTTTTGAAGATCTTAATAAAGGATTTGTCAATCCTCAAACACTAGATGATTTAGCTGCTACGTTTTCATTTTGTCTCAGAGAATTATTTACTATATCATATGCAATTTTTATTCATGGATTATCCAAGTTATTGTTAAACTATGGTTATCTTCATTTCAAACCATATGTTGAAGCTGCTATTCTTCCAGTAGCCGATTCAATCAACTCAAATAAGCTAGTCATATTTGAAATAATGAAGGTTTGGCTTGATAATGACAAGGAAATTGATACTTTTCCATACAGGTTACTAGGTTTTGATACATTTGGTGAATTTATTGAGAAGCGAGCTAATGTTATTTACGCGTTGCTTATCTCTAGCAGAAAAACAAATACAAACATTATAGTGAATAACAAAGTGTTAGGTGGCGAAATTGATGAATCTGAACTTCTGCTTGATACTCTATCATATTCAATTCCACTTTCTTTCATCAAAGGCGGTAGAAAAGGTGAAATTTTCAGTTTAATTGGTCAAATTTATGATTCAAGCTTGATAGATCATCAAAGAATACTTTTGGTACGCAACTTTTTGGATTTATGTGACTATTCAAGAATCTCTGATTTTATGAAGTATGCACCCGAAATCAAAGACCATGAACTTTTGAAGCTTCTATTTGTGGGAAGTCCTCCTGATCTATTTTCGTTGGTGAATATCAAAATCCCCATGTCTGCTGTCATTCATGAGATAAATCAAATAACAGATCAGGCCTCTACCAAATTTTGGAGCATTGCTACTGTCGGATTTCTCATCAAAGGTACTCTAGAAGTCCTTCCAACTATTTCAGATTCTAAAGAGAAACTACTTGTGCTACGAAAGCTGAGACTTATATTTATTCTTGGTTTTGATAACTTAAAAAATGAGCACATACTATTTCTGGTATTGGATCATGTATCGTCCCTTTTGGTGGATGATATTACGCATGATGATGCCTCTGAAATCATTGTCTTTCTTTTGACCATTATTGATGAAGTTGAACATCAGAACGACCGCTATTGTGAATTAGTTTTGAAGATTGTCCTTCAATTGTCAAAATATAAACAAGAATTCGGAAGAATGAGTTATCCTGTTGAATGCAAGATAATGGATATTTACTCAACCTCGAAATTTGAAGGGGTTTGGAAAAGTCTTTTTATACCAATGATACATTTGTTGACCACAAATATTACCGCCCTTGAAGAAACTCTTCTTTTAGAAACTGATCCAGCTTCTAGACAAACGCTGTCACGGTCTAATTACGTCTCAATTCATGGAATTCTCAGATTTGCTGCTAAACATTTGAATTCAAGCTCCCAGGACCTTGTGTTACAATCATTGGATTTACTTTTCAGTCAGGTACCGCATTTAAATGAGTTTTTCTACAAATTAAAGACTGATTCTGCTGTCTCAAAACTCCTAAAAGAATCTCAGCTCTTGTTCAGCGTTACTTTTGATCACTTTAGAGCGAGGTATTTAGGAAGACATTATACATTGACTGGTGATGAACTTAACTCATCTAATAATGAGCTTTCTAAAAGTTTTGAGGATCATCTTGAGCAAAAAACATCAAACTTGGAATCTCTTACTGATGCTCTCATTCGCAGAAGAACTGATATATCAAATGTCAAAGAGCTCGTTCTCATTGATGACTATCTTGGTATGGGACTTTATGAGTATAATCGAGGGAATTTGGAAGCTTCTAGTATCATGAAGTTTGATTCGCATTTGAAAGACTTGGTGAAATTATTGGTTCCTCTTGACTGGTTTATTTTCAGCTCTATTCATTCAGATCCTATCACGGTTTATCCCTGGTCTGAACTTGCTTCTGTTTCTAGCTTATCTGATAAAGCAACATCGATATGGTGCCGTGACATTATATTATCTGTTCTCAGTTATTTGAATGAAAATTCATTTCTCTACAAATCATTTTCCACATATTTGTTTCAGTTTCCATCCATATCAGAGTCCATATTTTGTGATGTATTATTATTTTATTTAAGACAAGGTAGATCTACAGAGGAAAAATTGTTAATAAAATTGATAAATAATACCATGAATTTCTCTGAAAATTCAAAACTTGTGAAGGAGAAGGCTAGATTGGTCTTGAAGCTTATATATTTCATGAACATTGGTAAGGAAGATATCAAACAATTCAGAAATGTATTAGGTCATTTAGACTCACAAGTCATTTATCAACTTGCTTCTAGTATGAATATGCCAAAATTTGCACTTTTAACCTTCGAGGCGTTTTACAGTGATCCAACAAATAAATCACATTTTTCCTGGGTTGACGATTCAAAATCTTTGGAATCTATTTATAATCAATTAAATGACAAGGATTTATTTCATGGACTTCCAATTCAACCATCTTTAACCTATGCAATGGCATCTATGAATAGAGAGAGTAAAAATAATTGGAGAAATGTTGTTTTCAGCAGTGCAAATTTGGACTCCTCTATAACATTACGGGATTATACAAACTTTGATTTATATTCTTCGAAGGAGATGGTATTAAACTCATTAGTTAAAAATAGTCTTTTGGGTGTATCTGATATGCTTAATGATCAACTGGATCCTCAAGAGCGTTTGAAAAGGAGTTATGAATGGAGCTGGAAGCTTGGTCAATGGAATTTACCAGCTTCTGAATCCCCAAAATCTGAAGATGAATTCATATATTGCTGTCTCAAAGGTGTTCATGAATCTAAGAATTATGAAAAGTCCTTTTTCGAAGAATCTGTGAGAAAACTTTTAAAATCACAAGACAATAAGGAAGTCAATGTCACAAAAACATTAGCCTCATTATATAATATTGAATTGATTCAATCACTCGATAATTCAGATCTCATTGAATCTAGTGAAGAGTTTTCTACTATCAAAGATGGCTGGTTTAAACAAGCTTCATTTGCTGATATTGAGAATTTACTTTTATCCAGAAGGATTTCATATGGAGAAGGTAAAGTCAATTGCAGCTCTACAGATAATGTTTTATTTCAAGCTCTAGAAATTCAAAGATATACATCACTTTCAAGATCTAATAATGAAATTCAAAGGTCTACAAACTCATCAATGCTTTTAGATAAAATTGTGAGATCAGAAACTAATTTGAATATAAACAAATATTTGTCTAAAGTTTCATCTTTTGAAACTGCTTGTACATTGTGGGATCAAGGTGAGACTGCCATATCAATTGAGATGTTGAAAGATAATTTAAAGAATGATATATCCAAACCAAACAATGTATTGATAAATGGTCTTGATGTTTTTGGATCTGTTTTAAATGCTTATCTAGTTAAATGGACTTCAGAATCAAGACAAGAAAAATTTGAAAATATAATGCAAACATACGTTAATGATGCCTTACGTGGTATAGAGGATGTCACTTCAGTAAAGGATAAATCAAAAGTTTATCATATATTAGGTTATTTTTGTTATAAACAAACAACTCTTCCTGGTGCTGAAGAAGAAGTTCAAAGACAGGAAAAATTATTGAAAGAAAAACATGCTGAGCTTCAAGAATTGAAAATTATTATTCAAAATAAATCAACACCTGCTGATGAAAAAAAGAATGCTAAAAGATATTTCCAAAGAATGCAATTACAATACGAATCAGATAAAGATTCATATAATACTTTATTTAATAATAGAATTGTTTGTATTGAAAAAGCATTAGAGTTTTTCTTGAATGCAATTTATATTGATGATTCTTATGATGATGAAGATATTGATAAAATTTGTGCACTTTGGTTAGAATATTTTGATGCTGATAATATCAACAATATTTTCAGTAAATGGATCAATAAACTTCCATGTCATAAGTTTATATCTTGGTTGAATCAATTAGTTTCACGTTTAGCAGATGAAAAAACTAGCTTTCAAACAAATTTACAAAATTTATTAATTAATATTTGTTTCAAACATCCTTATCATTCACTTTATTTTATTATGAATTTAAGAGTTCATAAATTATATCAAATATCTCGAACAGATTCAACAATTCATTCAAGAAGTGCAGCTGCTGATAACTTATGGAAAACTTTAAGTTCCAAAAATAGTTCATTTCATAAAGATATTCTTGATCCAGTACAATCAGTGAGTTCAAATGCATTAACTTTAGCTACTGAAAAAGTACCAAATAGTGGTGTGAAACAAATGAAATTGGATAATTTAAAAGTTGGTGATTTTTGGATTAATCAATTAAGAGATTTAAATATCCCATTACCAACAGCAAATCAATTATCAATTAATCCTAGTGGTGAATATGAAAATGTTCCAAAGATTGTTAATATTTCACCTATATTACAAATATCTTCATCTGGTATTAGTTTACCTAAAATTATGAGATTACAATTATCTGATGGTAGTAAACATAAGATGTTATTAAAAGGTTCAACTGATGATTTAAGACAAGATGCCATTATGGAACAAGTTTTCGAAAAGGTTAATACAATTTTAAAAAATGATAAAGAAACAAGGAAAAGAAGTCTTAAAATGAGAACTTATAAAGTTGTTCCATTAGGACCTCAAGCAGGTATGATTGAATTTGTTGCTAATTCAATTGCATTAAGTGATATTTTAAGACCTTTACACTCCAAAGATTCTATTTCATTTAGTGAAGCTAGAGAAATGATGAGAAATTGTCAATCATCAGGAACAAGGGAAAGATTAAACGTTTATTTAAAGATTTGTAAAGAGACACAACCAATATTTAGACAATTTTTCATTGATACTTTTACAAATATTGATGAATGGTATGAATCTAGACAAATTTATACAAAAGGTATTTCAACTAATTCAATTGTTGGATATATGTTAGGATTAGGTGATCGTCATTTAAATAATATTTTAATTGATAAAGAAACAGGTGAACCAATTCATATTGATCTTGGAGTTGCATTTGATCAAGGTAAATTATTACCAGTTCCTGAATTAGTTCCATTTAGATTAACAAGAGATATTGTTGATGGATTAGGTATTACTGGTGTTGAAGGTAGTTTTAAAAAAAGTTCAGAACATGTTTTCAGAGTATTAAGAGAAAATGTTGAAAAAATTATTGGTATATTAAATGTTTTAAAATATGATCCACTTTATTCATGGGCTATATCACCAATTAGGAAAAAAAGATTACAAGAGATTGAAAATCATAGTAGTGTTTCATCAAAATTTAATGTTGAAGGAGATGGATCCGATGCTGCAAGAGCTGTTAAAGGCGTTGAAACTAAATTAAATGCAAATGGGTTAAGTGTTGAAGCAAGTGTTGAAGAATTGATACAAGAAGCTACAGATTATAAAAATTTGGGAGTTATTTATTTAGGTTGGACACCATTTTATTAACATAGCTATACGCTATACGTTATTTATAATATTATAATCTATAATTAGTTGTAAAGAACCATTAAATGTAGTCCAATTAAGCTTCTTGGCAAGTAACTTGAGTATATCTTAACAAGCAATATAGTACATCGCTAAGCCTGTCATTTAGGAAATGTCAAATGAGTTAAAAATAAAGATTAACGGTTGCTTATATGACATGCTTTAAAATTGGTATATAGACGAAAGCTTATCTTCGCTTATGTGAGTGCTGAGTAATCAAGATAAGATAAATTAAATTTAAATTAAATTATTAACACTATAGAGAGAACTTTTAGAGAATGTCTTATATTTGATCTTTTCTCTCTCTAATGAATCTATTATCAAGTGATTTAAAGCATTTTTGAATTTTAAAGATTTTAATT